TTTGGGAATGGCCCCTGGAATGGGAATGTCGGGAGTGTCAAAGTCCCACCCCGATGTCTCAGAGGTTTTGGAGGTGGCTCGTGGCATGGGAATGCCAGGTCTGATGGGGTCTCCAGCTCACCTCCAGCTTCCCACCAGGGACCTACGCCATCCTGTCCCCTCTGCCGGCCGTGGGAGGGAACGAAGGTGTCGGGGAGGTGCTGGAGGTCGGGAGTCGCGTGTCGGCTCTGAAACGCGGGGACTGGGTCATCCCGGCGAACGCCGGCCTGGGTGAGTGTCCCCAACACCCCCTGAGCCCTCACTCATCCCCCACCTCGTCCCTGTCTGCATCCCCCACCCACAGAGCATCTTCTCCAAGGGTTTTTGGATGCTGGAGCCTGCTGGGAGCTGCCTGAGCTTTCCCAGGGAGCAAAGCCCTGGTAGCAATCCTGTGTGAGCTCTTGGGGAGCTGCTGTGGGGATTTTGGGGGCCCTGCAGTGAAACCACAGCCCTCCAAAGCACTGTCTTTGCTGGGAATGGGGAGAGCCACCTGTCCCTCCACTTACAGCAATTACGTCTCATGGGGTAGGACTCAAAAAGGAAAAACCCTCTTTCAGGGAGTGTTGGGTGAGGGGAGCAGCAGTTGGAACCCATTTAGTGCCATATGAGCCAAATCATAATTATAATGAGCTGGATTGTTTCAGACAGTCAGGTAACTGCTGGAGTTATCTCTTACCTGTTTATGTCTTGATTTAAATTATATTTTCACCACCTGTTTTGTTTTAATGTGAGGTTTTTTTATAAAACAAGCTCAGTTCCTGCTCCCCAGCAAGTGATGCTGCTCATCCTCCACGGATCCAGGGAAGGGGCTCCCGTTCACAGAACTCTTAAAATGCAAAAACCTGCAGCACCTGCAATAGGAGCAGTGGCAATGCCATTGCTTATGCTGAACTTAAATTTAGATATAATCTTCTTTTCTGCAGCATAGACCCTTTATGAGGCTTCTGTGCCGTTATAAAGCATTGCAGCAATCTGTGTTTTTCTGGAAACAGCCACCTTTTGTCCCATCCACTTGAGGCTTCCCCAAAGGCCTAGGATAAAACATCTCACCTGGGCAAGGTCGTGGGGACACCTCACTGCAGTTTTCTCCTTAATAGTGCTCTGCTGGGAAAGTCTGGGAATTAATTTCCCAACAAATGCCTCCCGTGCTCCTCCAAAATGCCAATGGCCTGAAATTTGTTGTTTCTGGTTTCGTGTAACAGCTTGTTCTTTGCCTATTTCTTCTTAAAAGGCTTTTTTTTCCTTAATGGGAGAAGGAAAGAGATCGAGTTAAGAGCCAAATGGGATATTTTTAAACATAAAAAACCTGTAAATAGATGATAGAGGGTTTAATTGGATTTAAGTATAGAGGGAGTAAAGCTGCCTAAATTGGCTTTGAATATATGGGCTCATCCATAGGATGGAGAGTATTTCCATTATCTCTGCACAGTCCCTGTGCCTGGGGAGCCCCAGTCCCATTATCCCCCTGGGAAAGGAATAGGCTTTGCTGGGTGATAAATCTGGGGATCCATCCACTGTTTTGGCTGTACCCACGTGGGAAAATATTCCCTAATTCCCTCTCCAGGGTTTAGCAGGTGCCTGGCGTGGCGATGCTGCCACGACTGGCATTAAGCCAACGATGTGAACTGAGGTCTCATGGCCTTTCCTTTTCCTTTTCCTTTCCCTTCCCACCTTCCTGTGGCTCTGGTGCTGGAACCCAGGGACGTGGAGGACACGAGGGGTGTTCCCTGAGGAGATGCTGCTGAAGGTGCCCAGTGACATCCCCGTGCTCTGCGCGGCCACTCTGAGCGTCAACCCCTGCACGGCGTTACGGATGTTGACTGACTTTGAGACCCTGGCACCCGGTAAGCCTTCTGCCAAGCAGCAGGAGTTCTGGGGGGATTTGCCAGCCTCTTCTGCGTTGAAAACCTGGATTTATTCCCACCCAGGTGACTCTGTCATCCAGAACGCTGCCAACAGCGGCGTGGGCCAGGCCGTCATCCAGATCGCCAGAGCCTCCGGCATCAAGACCATCAACGTGGTGAGGGACAGGTGGGTCCCCTGGGCAGGAGAAGGTCTGTGGGTGTGGAGTTGGGCTGGGTGGTGGTTTGGGCACAGGTTTGGGGACAGAGGGTGCTGGAGGGTCCTGCTCCAAAGTCCTTTGAACTTTCAGAGGGGGAAGATGAGCAGAGAAAGTTAACCCTTGGTCTGGGCTGGAGGCAAGTTTGGGGGCTGGAGCTGCTCATCCTGCCCATTCCACTCATCCTGCCATCCTGCCCATCTCCTCTTTGCTCCTCCAAAGTGTCCTCCAGCCTCTGCCTCCCCAAGTGACAGAGGAAGGATCAGGGGGAATGAGAAGGTGACACTCTGCTTCCTGGCTCATCGGGCCCTCTTTTTTTCCCCTTCCTTTTTCCCTCCCCTAGACCTGATCTCCCACAGCTGGTGGAGAGGCTGATGGCCCTGGGTGCAGACCACGTCGTCACAGAGGAGATGCTGAGAAAGCCAGAGATGAAGGATATATTTAAGGTACCTCAGTGCTGATCCCACTGGAGAGAGATGGTCCAGGGCTGTCACTGCGGTTCAGCACTGGGGAAAAGTGCAGGGATGGTGGGAAGGACAAATTTCCCTCTAGATCAGGATTTAGCCCCAGAAGTTGAGGGATTTTGCTGCTTCCACAAGGGCAGGATCATAGATTTGATGTCTGATTGGACAGGGCTTGGAGCAGCCAAGTGGAAGGTGTCCCTGCCCATGGCAGGGAGGTGGAACTGGAGGGGCTTTAGGGTCCCTTCAGACCCAAACCACTCCTTGATTCTCTGATAGATTTTAACTCCACAGCTCTCAGCTGCCTCCAAGTAACTGTTGAGGTGAGGGCAGTTGTTCCCTCAAGAACTGTGGTCGCACCCTGAAAAAGGAGCCCTAAAATTTGGGATCTTTTTTCCTAAACTCTTGCAGAGCACCCCCAAGCCCCGGCTCGCCCTGAACTGCGTGGGAGGCAAAAGCACCACGGAGATGCTGCGGCACCTGCAGTAAGTTTGGCTGGGTGGTGGCTTGGGGACAGCAACCTGCACCAGAGGGTCCTGCTCCAGAGTCTGTAGAACTTTAGGAGAGGGAAGATGGGTGGAAAAGTGGTTTTGGATGACAGCAGTGATGCAAAGTTAACCCATCATCGCTGCGCCGGTGGCCGGGAGCAGCTGAGGTCCAGTTATGAAGGTCCTGGCCAGGCACAACTGGAGCTCTGAGCTTCAAATTCAGCTAATGGTGCATGGAAGCAAGAGGAGAGCCTGGAAAGCGGGGTCTGAGGGGTAGCTGGGGGAGCCCTTGGTGCGAGGACAGCCCTGGGATGCAGCGGTGGGGTTGGGGGTGGCAGAGGGGGAGGTGAGAAGGTCGAGGATGCACTTTGGGGGGTTAAATAACACAGTCTGTTCCTGCTCCAGGCCCAAAGGGACCATGGTCACCTACGGGGGGATGGCAAAGCAGCCTGTGATGGTGCCTGTGGTGAGTACTGGAGATGCTCTTCATTTCCCTCAGGGCACATCACAATGTCCCCTCAGCTCCCGTGGGAGCTCAGCTCACCCTGATCGGGACTGAGGGTGGGAGCACTAACGAGGGGGTGAGGGGCCTCACTGCCACCTCCCGCTGCTGTCAGGACGGGGGGTGACACAGGGGTGTCACTGGGTGTGTGAGGGGTCACAGGGGTGTCACTGGGTGTGTGAGGGGTCACAGGGGTGTCACTGGGTGCACATTCCCTCTCCACAGAGCGCCTTCATCTTCCGGGACGTGCGGCTGCGCGGGTTCTGGATGACCCAGTGGCGGAAGGACCACGCGCAGGGTGAGCCGGGCTGGGGAGCTGAGGGTGGGCATGGGAACAGCTCCCAAGCCACCCCACTGGCACTGTGCTCCTCATCCTCAGTGCTGCTCATCCCCAGGGCAATGAAACACCTGGCCTGGGCATGGACTGTGCCCTGTCACCATCCCAGGGGCTCGTCCCTCGTCCCACGTGCCCGAGCTGGGGGCACATCACGCCCAGGACCCTGCGTGGCTCTGAGTGGGTGTTTCCCAGGATGGTGCTGGCACAGCACAGTGAGAGCTCCCTCCTTCCCTTCCCGTGCAGACCAGGAGAGCGTGGCTGGGATGATGGACACCCTGTGCCAGCTGATCCGGAGGGGACAGCTCTCCGAGCCTGCCTGCACTGAGGTCCCGCTCCAGGACTACAGGGCAGCCCTGGAGGCCTCCATGAAGCCCTTTGTGTCCTCCAAGCAGATCCTCCTCCTCTGACCCGCAGCTCCTGGAGCCCTGTCCTGCAGGCTCCAGCACAGCCCTACTTCTTGTCCACAGACTTAGGTGGGGAAAGAAGCCTCCAGATCCACTGATTTTCTTTTTTCCTTTGTTTTTTTAACTTTTGGGTGGCCACTGAAAGCTCTCCGAGCCTCCACAGCTTTGTGTGGAAGTGCTGCTGGAAGAAAGCTGCATCTCACCTCAGCTAGGGTGAGGTTGGGAGCACAAACAGTGGCTCAGTCAGCTCAGGGTGTCCAAAGAGCAGCAGTTCCTCTTTATGTATATTTTTGGAGCTGAGGGAGCTGCACTGCTGCCTTCTGCACTGCTGTAGTTATCCCAGGTGGGATTTGGGATGGGCAGGGAAAGCCCAAATTGACTCCTTGCAGCCCCCCTACCCCCAAGCTGGGGGAGGAAGGGGCACAGACTCCCCAGAGCACCGAGGTGTTGCTGTGGCTGGAGCGACCCTGGTGCTGCTGCAGCTCCTGGAGGAGCCCTGGAATCTGCTGGATTTTGCCAAGGGCACTGTGAGTGCTGGAGCCTTTGGCCCATCCCAGCTGGTCCCTGAAGACCCCTCTGCCAGGGTGTGGGACACTGGCTGTGACACTGCAGAGGACGGACACGGTAAAATGAAATGATTTATTACTGAAAACAACCAACAGTGCGTTCCTGCTTCCTCCTGTCCTGCTGCTTTTCTAACCCTATGGCCCCTACGGCCTCTGCTCTTGCCAATCCTGCCCCTGGTGAGGTCTGGCCCCGCTGTTCCCTCCACAGGAGCAGGTGGGGCAGTGCCCTTGGGCTGCAGCGTGGCCAGGGGGTGACCCCACAGCGTCCACCCCAAACCTGGCGGGGCTGCGCCTGCGGGGCCGCTTTGGTGGGGAGGGTCTGGTGCTGCCTGGGGGGGTGTCTGCCCCTGGCTCGGGGCTGGTGCTCGTGGATGTCTGGGTGTCATCATCCTCCTCTTCCTCCTCTGCCCCTGCTGCCAGTGGAATGCCCCACCATCTTTTCCATGGGAGCTCTGCCTCCTTCCCGGCGCCCAGGGGGGACACGGCTGGGGGGGCCGCGCTTTCCCCAGCGCTCCCCACGCCCCTCCGGTGGCAGGAGGGGTCATCCCTGGTGAAATGGGGGTTGGAGTAGAACAGGAGCTGCAAGAAAAGGCAAAGGGGAGGAGTTGGTTGCCATCACTGCAAGGAGGAGGAAGAGATCCCGAGGGGGATCCCAAGGGCAAAAGGGTGTTTAAAGGACTCCCCCGGGGGCATTTTAAACATCAGGTTTCATGTGAGTGAAGCGTTGGGACAGAGTTTTGTTAGGTCACAATATCTCTTGTGTTTTGGGCATTTGGGAGCAGAGAAGTGTAGGGTCTTCAAAGGCCAAAAAAAAACCCTGGAGAAACCCAAACCCCACAAGTTTTCAGGCGCCGCAGCGTGGAATGGACGTGTTGGGAATAACACCGATGGGGAGACTGTTTGCTCCCATCCCCACCTCTGGCCTTGCCAGGGCTGGTTTTATCTGAACATGAACCTCTCCTAAAACATCCTAAGGGATCTTTGTGTGGGGGGGGGAGCTGACCTACCTTGCCCAGCTCAGCCCCGGCTGCTGCTACTGCTCTCAGCTCCTCCATGGAGGTCAGCAGGGGAGAGTCCCCTTCCACCCTGCGGAATCCATGGAACATGAGCTGGAGAAGGAAGCCTCTCATGGACTCTGTCTCGAAGATCTTCTTGGGCCCCCTCCTCCCCAGCACTTCCTTCCTGAAGAGCTTCTCTCCGATCACGATGCAGTTCCCGTCGTTGCCCCACCAGATGGACTCGAAGCTCTGGCTGCTGAGGATCTCCCAGAGCGCCCTCAGGAAGGAGTCCTCCGAGGATTTGGTGTTGACAGAGATCTTCAGGGAACAGAATTTCACCTTGGGGTCCCAGGGTTCATCGGGCCAATCCTGAAGGGCGTTTTTGTCTGCGGGAGGTCCGGGGGCAGCATCCCAGGACAGTCCCGTGTCATCTCCTGGATGAGAAGCTGGAGCCACCCACCAGGCTGGCTCCTCTGGGCTGGGAGCACAGGATGTCTCTGCTGAAGACATCTCCATTTTGACTTCTCTTTCCTCGGCTTGGCTGCCTCCAACCAGCCTGTTGAAGTTCTGCGGTTCCATCTGCTTGGGGAGTTCTGCAGCTCGTGTTCCATCACGGTGACATCACAGTGTGGTGCCCCTCTCCTGGCAGCAGGAGGTGGGAGACACAGAAGTAGACCCAAAGCCCTGATTTCCCAGGGACCTGGTTGGAGCCCAGAGGTGATTCCAGCTGTGTTTTCATGTGGAATGTCCTGCTAGGGCAGTGCTGTGTCCCAGTGCCCCAGGAAGGTGACAGTGTTGGACATCCAAGTGTCCCAGACGTGAAGTCTCTTCTGTGCTCCCCCATTCCCAATAAAACCCCCACTATTTTGCATTTCCATTCTCCCCATCAGTATTGGAGGCAGAGGCACACTCCGTGCCCCAGCACTTCCTGATCAATGGATAAAATGGGGAAAATAAAGCACAAAAAGGACTTTGAAATCGTTATGAGGTCCATTAAGCCTGCCATAAACCAGAAAAATTAATGCAAGGCTTTTATCCCCCTTGTTTATTGGACTCCGTGATAAAACCCTACAAGCTTTAGAGAACCCTGTCACAAAATGTTCCCACCGCTCCCTCCCACAGCAGGGCACGAAGGAATCAATAATTAGATTTAATTCTGCTTGTCAAATGGGCGGGATCGTGGTTGGAAATCCAGCTGCTGGTGTTGCACCTACACAGTATTAATGTTTTTGGGGGTGACTGTGGGGTTATTTTAGGGGGGTGGCTGCTAATGCTGGAACGTTCCCAGCGCCTCTGCTGCGATCTGGTGTGATTTCGGCATCTGACGTGTCAACCCAAACGATAAGAATAAGTCCCCAGGAATGACATTTAGGGATCGGCAGGAGGGGCGTTGTTGCTCGTCAGAGGGAGCGGGGAATAGCCGAGAGCCTGGCCGCGGGGTGGGGGGAGGTCTTTTCCGACGCGGTTGATCCCGGGGCTCTGTGTCCCCCGCGTCTCTGTCCCTGTGTCCCCCCTGACCCCGGGTGGGCCCCACCGCGCGGCGTTGCCGCTTTAAGCCGCGCGCGGGGCGGGGCGGGGCGGGGCGCGCGCGGCGGTGACGTCAGGCGGGCGGCCGGGCCCCTCACGGCCGCCCCGGGCCCAGCGCCCGCCATGCCGCGGGTCTACATCGGCCGCCTCAGCTACCAGGCCAGGGAGAGGGACGTGGAGCGCTTCTTCAAGGGCTACGGCAAGATCCTCGAGGTGGACCTCAAGAACGGGTGAGCGCGGGCGGCTCGGCCCGGCCCGGCCCGGCCGGGAAGGGCGGGTGTGAGGGGAGGGCACGGGGTGATGGCGTGTGGGGGTCAGGGCGGGGTACGACGGGTGGGCTCGTCCGTTTTGAGGGGGGGAGGAAGGCCTGGGGTGCTTCTCGGGGGGAGGCAGAGCGGCTGGGCCTGTGTTTGGGGGAAGGGGGCAGGACTTGGGTGGGCTCCCTCGGTTTTTGGGGGGGTGGGGAGGACACCTGGGTTTTCCCCTGGAGAGGGGACAGGGCGCGGGGGTCTTTTTACTGGGGAGGGGGGCAGGACGCCTGGGTTCCCCGTTTTTTAGGGGGGGTGAGGCCTGGGCCTGCTCTGGGGAGGGCAGGCCCTTTGGTCTTTCCTGGGACGGGGGACAGGACGCTCCTGTTTCCATGGCAACTGGGAGGCAGGAGGGCATGGGCCTGTGTTTGGGGAGGGGGCAGGAGACCCCTGGGTTCGTCCTTTGAGGAGGGGCAGGACGGCCGGGCTGCCCGGTTTTTGGGGGGCCTGAAGGCTGGGCCTGTTTTGGGGCTGGACAGGATAATTGGGTTTGGGGTGGGGGGGGACAGGACGGCTGTGTTTCTATGGCAGCTGGGATGCAGGAGGCTGGGGTTGCCCTTTGGGGAGGGGGGACAGGACGCCTGGGCCTTTTTTGGGGGTGAGGGGAGGGCAGGACTCTTGGGCTCCCCCTTTTTGGGGAACAAGACACCTGGGCCTCTGTTGGAAGGCTCCCCCTTTTTGGGGGGGCAGGATGGCTGGGCCTCTTTGGGAGCTGGAGAGGAAGGTGCCTGAACTCCCCTTTGGGTGGGGGTGAGTGGGGCAGAACCCCTCAGGTTCCCCCGTTTTTTGGGGGGGGGCAGGACCTCTGGGTTCCCCTGTTGTTTTGGGGGGATGCAGAGCTGCTCCCAGACCCCCAGGCTGCCTGAGGGGGGCTGTCCTGCTCCGTCCCCAAACCCCCTGTACCTGTGTGTTCTCACCTGTGCTGTTCCAGCAGCTGAGCCCCCACTGCTGCTCCAGGGGTTGGATCCTGCTCTGACTTCCCGAGACATTCGAGTGTGGATTTTCCAAGGGAAAACAAATGGTTATTTTTGGTGTTCTTCCTCCCCAGCACTCAAAACCTCACAAGTGCTGGAGCCTTTGCTTCTTCCAAGAAACCCAACTTGAAGTCTTGCTTAGCAAGGCTGAGTGGAACGTGGATTTTATTGTTACATAGCCAGGAGAGCCAGGTATTAATTCCACCTTGGAAGTGGAGAACAGGAATTTCTTGTATAACTTTAGACCTTGAGCATTAAAATAAAAGAGGCCCATTAAGTTTTAATGCTGGTTGTGCTGCAGGTGGACATTTAACAGGTTCAGAAGAGGAATAAAAGCCATTATTAAAGCAAACAAGTGTTCATGTGTCAGTGTTTTAACCCACACAGCCTCAGGTGATGTTGAAGATTAGCTGGAGTATCCAGGTGTGCTGTTTTCCAGTCCCACTGGGTATCCTTGGAAGTGGTTTTTGGGGTGGTCAGTGTTCCTGTTGCTGAGTAAACCTCCAAATTCAATATTTCTGTTTCATAGATGTTGGGTGTGGGGGTAGAAAAGCCAACTAAACTTTGTTAGCAGATGTAAAACTGCTGATGTGGCAGTTGTCTTCCTGCTTTTATTGGAAAACATCTGCTGAGGACCAGCCTGAGGATCCCAGCCCAGCATTTAGGAACAGGGAGGTGCTGTGGGGACAGGAGCTGATTTAGGGCTGTCCTTGAGCAGCCAAGTATTGGGATATCTTAGATGTAAACAGTAACTGGTAGAGAGGGGAGGAGGGCACAGTATCCAAAATCCAGGTGCTCTCTGTGGGATACATTTTATTCCAGAGCTGGAGTCTGTTTTGTAGCTTCCCTGGGGGAAGAGAGAGTTCAAAAGCTGCGAAATAAGGGAAGGAGGAGAGGAAACTTAAGACAATATAACTGAGTTGCCTTCACCTTGCTGTTTGCTGCTTCAACTGGGGCTTAGCCAGGGCCCAGCCTGCATTTCTGGGATTAACTCAACGACTTCATTCCTTTTCTAGTTTTACATCCTTAAGTTCTTTCACAGATTCGGAGGTAAATTCCTTGAGCCATCAGGCTGTGTGTCTGTTCTTGGGACAGCCCTGAGCCTTCCTCCACAGCTTATTTTTAGCAGTGCTTAGCAAGTGATTAAAAACTCCTGCACGGTGTTTGACTGGAGACATTCCTGCAGTTGCTGCTGGAAATTTGGGAGCTCTCCTTGGTGGATCAGCTGCTGGGTGTTTGAGCAGCTAAACTGGAATGCTGGAACAGAGAGGATGGAATGCAATGCGATACCACAGAGTCCTAAAAGCTTAGCTGGGGCTCACTAATTGTAATTTAAGCTTGCAATTCAATGGCTTAAAACAATTATTACCTGAGGGAAGGACGGGGAAATGAAAATGAGGCTCCTGTAGGATTCTCTGTTCCAAGTTGGAGTGTTTAATGTGTGCTCTTTATTTGCATATTCTCTTTTCCCACTCAGAGCTGCACTGACAGCCAGAGCTCTGTGTGTGTAATGAATGTATGAAGTGACCAGAAAATTGGACTTTTCAGCCTGTTTTTTATTGCCTAAAACACACTAAAAGCTACCTGTGATGCCTCTAAGAACTGCAAACTTGCAGTCACGAAGCAACCAATCTTCAGTCTGGCTAAAAAAATAGTTCTACCCATGTATTTACCCTCCTGCATCACCCTGAGCAGCTTTGGAGAATTCGTGGCTATTTTTTGAGGCTGCAACTTCTGTGTTAGTTAAACGAGTGTTTTGTTTCGAGGGCCCTGAAGATGCTTTTCCTTGGTGACATCCCAAAGATGCTTTTCCTTGGTGACATCCCAAAGATGCTTTTCCTTGGTGACATCCCAAAGATGCTTTTCCTTGGTGACATCCCGCTCCCTGGCCCTGGCCTTGGCTACAGGGCAGCTCGAACAAGGAGCCCCAGCGGGTCCTGAGCTGTTGCTAAGTTAATTTTCAGGAATGTTTTTAAGGGCTGGACACATCACATTCTTTATTCCAAGCGAAGCTGAGGGCAGGAATCAGTTTTTCCTGCGTTTCCTCCTCTGTGGCTGCTCCTGTCGGGGCTGCTTGACCCGACCTGGCTCATCCAGAGCTGCAGGAGGAACAGGAGAGGGTTTAGGAGACATCTGTCCGTGTGGAGCAAGTGTGTGATGGCAAACTGGGGAAGCTGCCAAACCATCAGCTTGTTTGGTGAGAGGTGAGCAGGTCTCTCCTTGCGGGGAAGCTGCAAAGCAGCTGCTGAATCCACCCTGCAGCCGCAGGGCAAGCTCCGATGGATGGATCGCAGCCCCTGCGGAACTTCAGGGATTTCCAGAGGGAACAGCACCTGAAACTTGGGCTTTGGGGCTCCACCACATCCCTGGCTGTTCATGAGTGGTGGGAAAAACTTGGCACTTAGGGAATGCCTGGGCTAGGGGCTGGTCCTGGCGTGGAGAGATGAGCCAGCAGGGAGAATCCCGCTGGAAGGAGGAGAAAGATGAGGATCTGCCTTTTATTTCAGGTATTCAGCAATTATAGCACGCTCACGTTTTGCCTTTCACTTCAGATTTAAAAAAAAACAACAAACACTCACCTTTTGGGAGGTTAAGTCTGTTGGAATTGCTCAGGATGAGGACATTCTCCTGGAGCTCTTTCTGATCCACGAGCAGAAAATGGTGTGTTTTCACGGGAGCTGAAGTAAATTGCATTGACATT